TTTAAGGGATATAAGCATGGGACATTTGTGCTAGTACCAATATTTTGGCTAACAGTGAGATTATGTGGTTTTCTTGGAATGCAGAGATATGGGGTGTCAAATAGATGGTTTTATTGCCGTTGTTGCGCACACTCATGTTCTTCAGCAAGGACCAGTTACCGGAAGGGCAGCTGATGTTATTGCTGCAGCAAATACTGCTGCTGAGGTTGCTATGAGGCTCGTCAGGCCGGGGAAAAATGTACGTTGCTTGGCCAGTTTTTCTTTTTAAATTAAGTCCGTTTAACTTTTTGATACTTGAATGGCTGCCTTCACATGTGAAATTTACAATTCTCCTAAGTTACAAAAAGTTGAAAGTTTGAGGTTAATTCCAATTTTGTCTCACAGCTTAAATTAACTAAAATGTGTCTACTGCAATTAGCTTGTAATTGATTGTCTATTTCTCTGGAATAATATTTCTTCGGAAAACTCCACATTTTTTTTTTTCATATACATTCTCTGCTATAAATGTTTGATTATCATTGTAATGCCAGTTCTTATACTCCTGTTTAACTTCATAATTCTTCTTTTGATTTCTCTCTGTTTTCATTTTCTAATATGCTTCCTATTTGGTCTTATATGATTTGTACTAGTCTACAAATGATGAATATCCGTTACACAGTAGCCATTGCAATTGTTTAATTAAAGTCTACTATTTATGGTGTCAAATGAAGCATATGCCTGTGACCTCTCCGTTTCTTTACTGCTTGTACATGGACCAGAAGGCATGATTGCATTTACACCTCAACTTGCCGTAATTCCTTCTAGGTTCCTCTAAGTGATGAAGCTTTTGTATAAGCTATGGATTGACATCCATGTGAAGCCTTAGTCATAGTTATTCTCATAGGGGACCATCATCTTTCTTCTACTCTGGTCTATTCATATGCATTGAGCCTATTGCTTAGAATCTATTTGTTGGTTTCTGAAATTGTATTGTAATTGGGTGAGTGTATGGGTACATGACTAACATAGTGATTAAAATCGAATTAAAATTTATATAGCTACATGGGCAGCTTTGCCAAGGCGATTGTTTCTTTGCGAGTCTCCTCATTCCCTGTTGCCTATATTGCAGTTGACCTGGTTGAATATTTCTGCTGGTGA